TTTGTGTGTGTGTGTCTTTTTGAAGCAGGGTCTTCTTGTAGACCCAGCTGTCCTGGAACTCAGTATGTAGACCAGGCTGGCCTTGAACTCACAGAGATCTGCCTGCCTCTGCCTCCCAAGTGCTGGGACTACAGGCATGTGCCACCACGCCCAGCACTAGTTATATAACTTTAAGTATTCATTCATTGATTCATTGATTCATTCGAGACAGGGTCTCTTGTAGCCCAGACCTGCAGAGAGAAAATGATCTTGAACTTCTGACCTGCTTCCACCTCCCAAGTGATGGGATTACAGGACTACACCACTGCATCTGATTTTATTATTATTATTATTATTATTATTATTTTGCTTTTAGTGACTTGACTTCTATTACCTCAGATTGCACAACTGATATATGGGGATTAGCAGATGCTGTTAACTAATATCTCAAGGAATTGTTGGGAGGATTAAATGAGTCAATGAATGCCAAGTGCTGAAAACAGCTCCTGACCCATACGGTACACATTGGGTTCCATTAATTCCCAGTGTGTGTAGGAATGAGACATCCCCTCCTGTGTAGGAATGGCCACCTCTATGACGAATTTCTCCTAGAGGGCTGGGATATATAGTGGTAAAGCACTTGTCTAGCAGTCACAGGTCCTGGGCTTGATTCCCAGCACACTGCCCTGAATCTCTGCTGGCACAGCAGTGCTGATTGATGGGAACAATGCTTGTTGCTGTTGGACAGCACACCCTGAGTGCTGGTTACTGCCGAAGTATTTATATGCAGCTATGGATTTTCTCATTTAATCTCTCTCTCTCTCTCTCTCTCTCTCTCTCTCTCTCTCTCTCGTATAAGGAATTAAACACAGGGCCTCATAGATGTTAGGCAAGCACTCTACCTCTGACCTACACCTCTAGCTCACATATAATCAATTGCTCTTTCTTTTTTAATTAAAAAAAATTTATTGAGACAATCTCATGTAGCCCAGGCTGGTCTCAAACTCACTCAAGGATGTCCTTGAACTTCTGATCCTCTTGCCTCTACCTCTTGAATGATGGGATTGGAGGCATAGGCTGTCACAGTTTTCTTTTTTTAATCTTTTATTATTTTAATTTTATGTGTATAAGTGTGTTGCCTGCATGTATGTGAGTGCACCCGTGTCTGCAATGCCATGGAGGTCAGACAAGGGCTTTGAATTCCCCTGGAACTGGAGTTAAGGACAGTTCGTAGCTGCATATGGGTGCTGGGAATTGAACCCAGGTCCTCTGCAAGAGCAGTCAGTGCTCTTAACCTCTGAGCCATCTCTCCAGGCCCCATGGTCAGCTTTATGTGGTGCTGGGATGGAAAGGGATCTGTGCATGCTAGGCAAGCACTCTACAAACTGAGGTGCATCCCCAGGCCGCATAGTTAATCTTTTAAAATATTATTTATTTTTAAATATTTTATTTATGTGTATGAGTGTATTGCCTGCATGTATGTGAGTGCACCTGTGTCATGCAGTGCCACGGAGGTCAGAAGAAGGCTTCAGATTCCCCTGGAGCTGGAGTTGGGTCCTCTACAAGAGCAGTCAGTGCTCTTAACCACTGAACCATCTCTCTAGCCCCTTATTTATTTATCTATCTATCTATCTATCTATCTATCTATCTATCTATCTATCTATTTATTTATTTATTTATTTATTTATGTGCATGTATATAATTTATGTATGTGCAAGTGTACCTGTGTCGTGCAATGCCTATGGAGGCCAGAAGAGGGTGTTGGATCCCCTGGAAGCAGAGTTACAGATAGTTGTTAGCTGTCAAGTAGGTGCTAGGAACTGAACCCAGGTCCTCTACAAGAGCAGTCAGTGTGCTTAACTACTGAGCCATCTCTCCAGCCTTCCTCTTCCCAGTTAATCTTAACAGGAGCCTATGATGTAGGTATAGGCTTAGACATAAGGAGAGGCATCCCCAGGCCCCATATTTAATCTTTTCATAGGACATAAGGAAGCCGTGGCCAAAGAGGAGAAACAAGAGAATTTGCACTAGATCACACAAGTAGGGTGCGTGATCTACTATCATCAGGATCTGAGACCAAGTCATTTTTTCCAGTGAAACGCCATTGACAAGAACTGATAGAGGTCCAGTGGGGGGATTGGGAGGGGGGTTCTAAATTTGATTAAGAACTGTTGTATGAAATTACAAAAGCTCAACAAAAAACTTTAAAAAGAAAAAGAACTGATGAC